CTCTGACCATTAGCTTTTGGGGGTTTTTACACTGGCGGGCATCTATTGTGCTGATTCATGTATAGTGCACGTGTGAGTACTTCCTGCAAGGCAGGTCTGGACTTGACGAATTCCTTAAGCATTTGCTTGTCTGGAAAAGACTTAATTTCTCCATCAAATGTGAAATTTAGTTTTGCAGGATACAAAATTCTAGGTTGGCGGTTGTTTTGGTTAAGAGGCTTGAATATGGGGGCCCACTCCCTCTGGCTTGTAAGGTTTCTGCTGAAAAGTCTGCTGTTATCCTGATGGGTTTTCCCTTGTAGGTCAGTTGTTACTTAAATCTAGCTGCTTGCAGAATTTTCTCTTTCACTTTGACTCTGGCCAGGTTGAATACTGTGTGTCTTGGAGAGGTCCTGTTTGCTATGAATCTTCCCGGAGTTTGATGACCATATTGTGTCTGGATGTCTGCATCTCTAGTGATACTAGAGAAGTTTTCCACAATAATTCCCTCAAATAGATTTTCCATATTTTTAGCACTTTCTTCTTCTCCCTCAGGGATACCTGTAATTCATGTTTGTTCACTTCACATAGTCCCACATCTCTCTAAGTGATTGTTCTTCCCTTGTTCTCGTCTCTGCCTCTTTAAATGATTGGGTTAGCTCCAGCGCCTTCCCTTCAAAGCTCTGAGATTCTTTCTTCTCCTTGGTTTAATCTGTTGCTGAAACTTGCTGCTGCATTTTGAAAATACTTGAATTGACTCTTTCATTTCTTTAAGTTCTATTATGTCCTTCTTAATTTTGTCTAGCTCTTTAGTGACTTTTTCATTAATTTCCTGAAATATTTTTGGGGCTTGTTTTTGTTGGTTTTCAACTTTCTCTTCAATTCCATTCATCTTTTTTGCCATCCATATTCTGAGTTCCATTTCTGTCATTTCAACAATTTCCTTGAAGTTGGAGTTCACTGCTGAAGCCCTGTTGTGGTCCCTTGGGGGTACTGATCTGTTTTGATTTTTCATGTTGCCAGGGTTCTTTTGCTGGTTTCTTCTTATCTGAAACTTCTTCTCTCAGTTCTGGGTTAACAGGTTTGCAGGGCTCCTGTTCCTTGCTGGGAACTCTCCAGATAGTTGTAAGATGTTCATGTTGAGAGCTGGATGAGACTCTCTTCACTGAGGTTGGTGCTGTGAGGACTGCTCTACTAAGGGTCTCTCCACGGAGGTAGCCGCAGGAGCTGGATAAGGTTGCCATGGGTTCCCAGGTTTTGGGCATTTGCTCATAGCAGATCACAGTATGCTGGCGGCTTGAGGTTTGGGGGTCCCTGGCGAGGCACTGTACTTTGGAGCAGCTGTTCTAGCCCTGTTAGCCCTGCTCTGGTGGTGGAGGCTCTGGGGTGGAGTCTTGGGCCAGGTGCAGCACTGGAGTCCTAAGGATGGTGTTTTGGGCCTGCTGGGAGTTATGGAGGGACATGGGCAGAGCCTCAGGCTCCAACCTGAGAGCCTCAGAGCTGGGACTGGGGAGGAGCCATAAGCAGAACCTCTGAGCAGGGCCTCTGAGCCAAAAGCAGGGCTGTGCAGATGGCAGGCCATCTGATCTGGAGGGCGGGGTCAGGGCCAAGCAGGTAAGGGCAATCGGGGCTGGAGGGTGGAGTCTGAGCAAGGAAGCAGCAGGCTGCTCCGCTGGCACTGGGGTCATGTGAATGCCAAGTCAGGTGGGCTGAGGTTGGCTCCAGTAGCCCAGGGACCACAGGGCTCTCCATGCTCCTCTCCAGGCCTGCCTAAGTGGCCTCCCAGCGCCTCTCAGTCAGAGCCCACTGCACCCCAGCGTGAGAGCCTCGGAGCCAGGACTAGGGTGGAGCTGGAAGCAATGCTTCTGAGCAGGGCCTCTGAGTTGAAGGCGGGGCAGTGCAGATGTCAGGTGGATCCAACGTGGAGGACAGGGGCAGGGCCAAGCAGGCAGGAGGCAGCTGTGGCCTGGAGGGCAGATTGGAGGCCGAGCAAGCAGCAGGCTTCAATTTCTATGAGTTCTTTCTCTACCTGTTCCTCTTTATAGCATTCTGATCTTATTTCATAGATGCACTATCTTCCTTATTTCTCTGTGTCTCTTAATTTATTGAACACTCCCATCTGCTCTGTCCAGTTTCTCCCTTTTATCTCCAGATGTTTTTTTTAATTATGTGTGTTGATCTGTCTCCATTTTAATGGTGTTTTCCAAATGTCTTTTGAACCTTGGCTGTCCAATCGTATTTGACAGCAAGCCCCAAGAAAGCTGAATGTAAAGTCTTGTGAACAGGCAGGGATTACTGTTGATAGTTCTCAGAATGAGGTTACCAGACCAGAACTTCCAAAGGTCTGTTCACATACAGATCTTTCTTCTTTTGAAAGTAAGTGCCTCCTGGGAGGAATCTATACATTTTCTGGCCGCCAGTATTCTAGGTACAGCCCTTCTCTTCATCCTCCTGTTTTCAATAAAGACCTCTGTTACCCTATTCTTTGCCTGTTACCTCCAAATCCAAGGCCTCCTGGTTCAGTATCCACCCAGCCCATCAGTTTTACTCTAGACTTCAGATGGGCAGATGACATGGCAGTTATCATGGAAAGGGGATCTGGTGGAGTCTACTGCTTCTTGCAAACACTTTCAATCCCCTGGCCTGCTCGTCTTGATGTGCTCCTGCAAGCTGTCTCTGGTCTAGTAAGAGACCACTCATTTACATATGCAAAAGTTCACTGACAACTCTGATCTCTTGTCGTCTCATCCCATTCTCTTTGTTCTTGTGCATGTAAATAATTTTTTATTCTTTTATTGTCATTTTAATGTGAGAAAAACATCTATTTTTCCATTTATTTTCAGCTAAAATTTGGACTATATTCCGTATCTATTAGTGTTTCCAACTCAGTCTAACTTCCTAGCTTCTTGGCAAAAACATAAAATCATAAAACTCAAGCAAGCCCCTTTATTTAATTCCACCTGTAGCTAACAAAAGACCTCTACACTGAACACTATAAAACACTGCTGAGAGAACTTGAAAAACTCAATGAGTGAAGAGCTATACTCTGCTCACACACTGGAAGACTGAATACTGTTAGGATGAGTAGTCTGTAAGTTCATCTACAGATGCCAGGCAAAAGAAATCACAATCCCAAAAGTTTTGTGTGAAAATGATAATCTGATTCTAAAATGTATATAGAAATGCAAATAACCTAAAATAAACAAAGCAATTTTTAAAAACAAGAACTGATATTTATTTTACATGATTTTAAACGTAAAGTAAATCTACACTATAACTTATTATAAATAAGATTTGTAATATTATAAATATTACAAATTTATTATAAAACTACAGTAATTAGGACACCTCGGTACTTGGCAAAAAGGCGCACAGACCAATGGGACAGCACAGAGTCCAGAAAAGGAACCACGCATATGTGGACAATTGATTTTGGGGTGATTTTTATTTTCTTCAATCTGCCTTTATATATTTTTCTTATTTATAATAGAAACAAATATTACCTTTTGTAATGGAAGGGGGACTTTTTTTTTTGCTTTTTGTTTTAAACATGTATTTAACACATGGTTTTAATTTATCAGATTCTAAATGATACAATGGGGAGAAAATCAGTCTGGGTTTAACTTAATCTAAAGAATATTTTCCATTTAAATGTAAAGTCCTAAAGACTATACTTTCAGGGATCACTTGTACAGTTTGTTACTAAATGTAAGGTCCTAGCATGTGTAATACTGGTGAGAAATACTGATGTGATCCAGTTACTTACCCGAGCAATGCAGTAATCCTTGGGATTTTCTTTTTCCAGACCGTATTTCTCTAAAGCCTCAGCCACAGCGAAGTCTGCAGGATCTGTAGTAGACAGCAGGATTGTCTTGTAGGGAATATTTGGTTTTAAACTATCTGCATAAATTCTCAGCGTTCCACCTGAAAAAACATTTTGACATCTTTGAGCACGACTTTATCATACGCCAATAATAGAGATAACTAACATCTACAATCCCTTAAGAAAAGGGCACCTCAGGTCTAGCTGGAACAAGTGCAAAGACAAATGTGCATTTTTTTGAAATGAAAAAAAGAGATTTTTTTCACTTCCTGTTAGATGACATACATTAGCAGTAACTGGTTGATCTAGTGACACTCTGAACTCCTGAACAATCCAGTGAGACAAAGACTGTTTCTGCCCTCTCTTTAAGCCAAGGAGTTTACTGCAATGATGCGCTGATTTCCACTACAGTGGGACGGAGAAAGGACAGCTCTCCAGTTTCTTTACGGTGCTGCTTTCGTCGCCTGCTTTCCCATTCCCTTACCTACACAGCCTCATAGACCTATTTCCCTCGTTTTTCCTACATCCTGATCATCAATCTGAAACTTAAATTAAAACCCCGGGTAAAGTTAAATATTAACCTCACTAAATAAATCCGTTTTTAAAAAGTGAACTAGGAATGAGGAAATCTCGGGTGCTTGAGGCCAAAGATTGTTCGTGGATTTGCCATACAGAACGGCTCTATTTTTGCTTCCAGGCACTACAAACTACAATGTCATTTATAACTACGTACTCGATTGGAAAAAAAATTCGACTAGAGCAGAGCAACTTTGATATTTTTCTTTTTCGCTTGTTTCTTTTTAATGGAAATCTACATATGTTATATTATTGTCACTTGGGGTGTCATATTGGGTGTCATAATCTGCTTTCCTCTTATGGTCCAATATTATTAAGCCCTGAGATCTTAAATCTAGATGAAAGGATACTGAAGAGAAGAAATTAAGATTAGCTCCATGCCCCTCCTACTACAGTGGGGGAAGGATTCTAACTTCTTTAACCCTCAATGTTCTCACCTGAAACTTTTAAAAGAGCTAGATTAGAAGATCTCTATGGATTTCTTGAAGCAAGTTCTAAATTTCCATGACTCCTTCACTCTTTTTAGTTCTAATGCAGTTATTCTGGCTACTGAACATTTGTCATATTCTCTTTTTCAACAAATCTGGCACAAACTGCATTTTGATAACTTGGCTAACGGTAAAATAATGTCGGTTTTTAAAAAAATCAGCTAGTCCACATTGTTATTAGAATGTGGACCTGCTGAGCCAGGCTCTCAGGACATCCCAACCATGTGCCAACTCATACTGTTCTGATGCGGAGGACACAGCAATAAACAGGTCAGTGTTCTCATCTTCACATGACTTACATTCCTTAGTTGGTAGGTAGAATGCAAAGGGAGAAGACTAACAAGAAAACAAATAATTTTAAAATAGGGAAACATATTGTGAAAAATATGAGTACGGTTGTAAGAAAGAAAGTGACCGAGAGCTTCCTAAGCTTGGGTGACCAGACCAGACCTCTCTGAGAAATCAACATCTGAACTGAGACCCGAGGGACGAGACAGAAGCAGCTGTGAGACAATCCAAAGGAAGGGCTTTGTCAGCAGGGGACCAGCAAGTGCTTAAGGCCCAGAGTCAGAATAAGGCTGGCCTGGTCCACAGGACAGTGTAGACAGAGTGAGGGGAAAAGAGGGAGATGAAGTCAGGGTCTGGCTGGGACCAGATCACTCAGGACCTGCCCAGCAATGATCGAGAGTTTGGATTTGATCTAGTTAAAGTGTGGGAGCCATTGAAGGCTGTCAGTTCTGTGTGCATTGAGTGTGTGTGTGTGTGTGTGTGTGTGTGTGTGTGTGAGAGAGAGAGAGAGAGACAGAGAGAGAGAGAGAGAGAGACAGAGAGAGAGAGAGAGGGGGAGTTTGTGAATGTGTACGCATGTGTGAGTGAGTAAGTGTGTGAGGGGGAAGGTGGGCAAAATGCCACTCAAGTTCTACAAAGAAGACCTAGGTGAAGGTGGGGACAGTAGCAACAGAAGAGAGGCCAGTCGAAAGTACATATTCCACTATAACAAGATGCATCCCCTCCTTATGTCATTATACTCTACTTCCAAACAGATTTGAAGTAATTTACAAGAAAAACATGTACAACAGGATGAGTAAACCACTTTGTAAACTGAGTGTTCAACACACAATAGACAACCAAGGAGCAAAAAAGAGCTTCTATTTTGAAAGCTGAAGAGATGAACTTGTATTCTCACCTGGATCTCCACCAAAAAAAATGCAAATGGTCAGACATTTAATTTTTCTAAAACACAATTTACATCAGCTGAATGCCTAGACAAGTACTTTGTGATCCCAAAGTTACAGACCACCGAGCATAAATGATTATTTGGTTGGTCTGAAAAACTGCAAAGACAGTGTTTATCAGAAAATCACTTTAAAAGGATTAATCTACTTTTGAGTGGCACTTCCCCTCAAGGACACATCAACACGACATAGCTATAAAATTCATATTTATGTGGCCAAATGAATTTAGCTATTGGATGAAATTATTTTTATTATCCATTTGAATGTTTCAAAACATCTAACACTATGATTTGGTTTCAGTATAGTTGAGTATTAAGGCATTCTGACACATAAAACAAGCAATAAATGGACACAGTCTAATTTTAAGGGTTTTTAGTTTATAAGCATAAAACCATGGTACTGTCATGGGAGAGATACACACGTCAACTAAGGAGGGAGAGAGAAGAGAAGCGAACATTTTTAAGTTCCTATTATGTACTAAAATCTATCTGAATAAATTAATGTCTCAGTTCCAAGATTACGGTATGGGTTATTGTCCCGCCTCGAAGATGAAGAAACTGAGGCCCACAGTTTGCACCCCTAGTTGTAGGTTCCAACTGAATGCTAAGCTCAGGTCCATGTTCTTCCAAACATCATGTGCCCTGTTGCTCCCAAGAGTGTGCACTAAGAAACCGAGGTAGAAGAAGGATCAACTCCCTAAAAATTCTCTTACAATTTTGTTAATGTATAATATTACTCAGTGTGAAATAAACATATAATCATCAGTAGTAGAATATTTGTGCCACAAATCAATTAACTGAGCCACACAAGACATTTTTGGGACAACTATATTTTGAAGACATCACAAAGTGAATATACCTGAGTGTCAAAGATACTTTACAAAGTCCAGGGACAAAACCTGTTGTGAGTTATGACGCCTGAACCGCTGTGAAGTGAGGTTAACAGCACAAGTAAGGAGGACAAGTAAGCTACGTCATCAGAGCTTGGCGAACGAGACAGAAAAACAATAGCCTCAGCTGCCACTCTCAGAAAAGTGGTACCCACAAGTGCCCATGTCCACCCAGCCCACAACCTAATAGCTAATAGCTACAGTAGGCTATAAGGATATATTTTTCTGAGCATTTTATTTATTAAAACGAAAACCTTGAGGGAACGCAATACTTTGGGTTTCCTTAGTATTAACCATAAATAGGTATTTTGCTAATAATATTTAGTTTTTACAGTTTCCTGAGGTTCCACATACAGAAAAATATTCCTTCTGCCCCCAACCACCCCTTCAACAGACAAACTCTACTCAAAGTTCTGCTATTTCTCCTCCTAATTCTTTGGGGTCTTTTCCTGTTTTCTTTGCTGACTCCTTTCAACAACAGCCTTGCATCAAGTTTTTATGTGACCTGTACACTTTCTATCCAACAAACATCACCCGCGCCTCTGACTCTACCTCCCCACCACACACGTACTCCAACCCTCACTCCCTCACCATTCACCACCAGAGCAGTGCTCCAGTCACTGAACCCCCAGCTCGGAAGACAGCCCACATCCTGCCAGCATCTCCTATGGCACACACAAACAAAACTGTCTTCCACCCCAGATGTTCTTCCATTCCACAGTCCATCGACATCTGCCTACTAATTAAAGACAGGGGTGTCGTCCTGAATGCCTCCATCCTCAGTGAAATCCAGTCTGTGACCACTTCCCGACAAGTCTACCCTTTACATTTCTTCAGTCCTTTCTTCTTTACAGCCCCACTGTCAGTGACAGAGCTCACAGGCCCCTCCCGTAACTGCACTACCGTGGGCAATGCAGTACTTTCGATGGGCATGCATGCTTCGAATCACAGTTCCCTCAAATCAACCTTCCGCTTTGCTTCCATAGTAATCTCTCCAGATAGGAAGCTTTGGCTAAATTGAAAGCTTTCTAAATCCACAGCTTAAAACTCTTCAAGCAGCTTGTTAACAAAGCACATCAAATTCTTCCACTGAAGTACCCCCAATGGCAATGGAAAATAAATATGAGTATTGAGGGCACAGGCTAAGTGACCTGCAAAAAACTTCCTATTTCAACCTAAAGATACATATAAATGTTGCATTCTAATCCACATTAAAACATTTCTCATCATAAAAATATGTTTTAATTTACTGACAAAAACTGATACTCTAAGCTAGCTATCTTTATTGTGACTCACATATCTCCAGCCCATGCCTGAATATTCCTTGAGGGAACCATGGGTTCATCCTCAGAAATTCCTTCCAGTAAGAATGTCAAACTCCCTCCCAGGGCACACAACGTGCTGTTAGGTCTGGTATGTGGTTAGCATATGTCGGTATTTTTGAGTGTTCCTTTTGTCCTTTTTAAGACTTTTACTACTTTTCTTTTTCCTCTTTATATTTTCTCTCCTTCTCCTTATTTTCTTTATCCACTTTTTGTTTGGGGGGCATGTATTTATAAATGACTTCAAATCCTTGACAGAACAAGACAGAATACATATAAACAAATAATCATTTGGGTCTCAAAAATACTACTAGAATATTTATGGAACCCAGAAGTCCCTCACCTAGCTATTTTATATCACCAACACTCAAGTCTTGTGAAGTATATAATTAAGACTTAGTGATCACGTGCTAAATATGCATATAATGTTTAGGTGGCCAACTTGCATCACAGCCAGAGGCTGTCTGGAACGTGTTACACAGAAACACGCTCAGAACAAATGGAATTCTCAGCAGTTTCTGCAATGGGGCAGAATCCAGCGACCGTGCACTGTGTTGTGTAAGTCTTATTTGGATCCCTTCTCAAATAGAAGATTTATTTGAGGCAATCAGGAACATTTAAACAATAACTAGGTATTTGATAATATTAAGAAATCATTGTCAATTCTTTTATATGTGATAACAGCACTGTTGGTTATGTTTTGCTTTGGTTTTTTTTTCTTTTTTTCTTTTAAAGAATCCTTAACCTTTAGGAAAATATACCAAAGTATTTATAGTTGAAATCATGAGAAGTTTGGGATTTGCTTCACAATAATAGTTTGGGAATAAGGCAATGTATGTTGCAGCACAGAAGAAACACAAATTGTTAACTACCAAAATTCAGTGACAGGTACATGGGGTTCATTACATGTTTTTCACTTGTATATATTTAAAGTTTTATAGAATTTTTTTAAAAAGCTATACTAAGGAAAAATACGTAACATTACAAATATCTCTATATGCACAGAACTCTTCTACATAAGGCAAAACTGATGGTACGTATTTGTTATGAAGAGGTTACATCCCCCCATTGCTTTAGTTAAGGAAACCTTAAGCATAGATAAAAAGTGTTAAATAACACTCTTTATAACAGATATAGCAGAGAAAAGTAATTTAAAGTTTGTACCTGAATCAGGCCGCCCATCTGAACTCCGAAATTCCTGCATTCTCTTTTCCAATTTCTGTTGCCTCCGTCGTTTCATAACCACTTCAGGATTAGAAATTGTTCGAGTAAAGCTGGTTTCAGGCATGTCTTTGTAGACCTCTGCAGCCAGTCGGGAATTCTCACTGTAAGAAAAAAGAAAAAAAATCAATATTTTAAATTTTTTCTTATTAGAAATGGATATATTATAATCATACAAAGGTCAAAATGGCAGATACTGTTTGGGTACATCTGTCCCCTAGTAGGTCTGTTAGATGCTATTTACCATGTGCTAATTATTAATACTATGTGATAAAGAATATACTTTCTCTCGATACAAACTAATACACTGAACGAAGCAGAAAACTATAATTAAAACTTTATGGTGAGTTTATTAATAGAGCTAAAAATGTATGGATTATAACATTTCAGTAATTTTCGCCAGTGTTATTCTGCAACAGACCAAATGAGTGATATTCCACTATAACATTCCAATCACAAGAAAGGAGGATTAATTATTCTTTAATAAAAACCTGTCTTAAAATTACAGCAAATCTTGAAGAACCAAAATTAATTAAATAGGATGATTTTTTAACACTTAATGATTTACCAACATTCACTTTCATGAACTTAAACTTTCAAAAGGAAATTGCTCCAACAGTTTCTGTGAAGGAGTCAAATGTATAGAATGATGAAAGGAAAACAATATTAGGTAAGATGGAAAAACTGATTTACTTGATTAAATTTTGATTAATATACTTTAAAGATTTAATTTTTAATTATGTAAATAATTTAATTAAAAATAAGACAAGCTTATAATCAATCAAGCTAGCAACATAACTCATTTTAAGTAGTTCATTTTCTAAATCAAATAATATATCACCCCATAAACTAAGACGATGAATAGAGCAAGCCATAAAGCATGTTTTAAACCCTCCTTTGATTATTTTTCATTTATGAGCAATATATCTATGCAAGTTGCATAACTGCATTAAAGCCTTATTATATAATACCAGACTGAAGTGATTACATAGGCATCACTGCCTAGTAGACTAATATCTAAACCCACTTTGATGCAACCCAAAATGGGCTCAAATTCTACTCTAAAGTACACAAAGTCTGTCCAGAAAGTATCCAGCAATGGGATATGAAAAATTGAGACATTTAATGAAGAAGATACAAGATACAAGAAACACTACACAGGACAATGATGCCTTAGTACCCTTCAAAGTAGGCACCTTGGGACTTCACACAATTCTCCCAGCATCTCTTAACCTGATCCATACGTGTTCAACATTCTCAGATGTTCTGCTTGTTGCAGGCCTTCCAGAATGTGGATTCTCAACCATCTCTGTAGCGTTTGTGCAACACTTTTATTTCTGCTGCATTTATTGCATCGCCCTGAAAGCCTTCTGAATCATCTGAATAGTTTCCGAGAAATGTTCAAGCTTAATGTAAAATTTTATGCAGATTCATTGCTCTACTTGCTCAGTCACTTAGAATGTGACGGCCACACACGAGTACACATGCTCATGCAATGGCGTCTAGTGCCCACTGACTGGTACGATGAAGTCATCATTGATCACACATGTGCGTTACAGTCTACTCTCCCTGGCTGCCAGGTTACATTGATGTTGTGCAAAATATTATCATTATATTAACAATGGCTGGATACCTTCTGGACAGCCCTCATACATTTATTCACTGACAAATGGTTAATATCCTTACAATACATACAGAATACTTAGTATCGACTAAAAAATGGGAAAAAGCCACGGAGAGGTCACTGCAACAGAAGAATATATATAGTTAATGAACATATGGAAAGATGCTGCCTTATTAATGATAAAAACTAATTCAATTTATGGAAGACATTATATACTGTGGAGATACACTGTTCTGTGACACCCAGAGTTGCAGGGTGTAAGGGAAGGAGAGGTCTCGTGGGCTGCATAAGAGTAAAGGGCAGTGTGCCAATGGGTTCAGAACATGAGAAAGCATCCAAACCTGTCATCTAGCCATTCTGCTAGAACGCACCCTGAGAAAATCAATCAGATGAATTCCCAAACTCACAGAACAAGGACATTCACTGGAGTATTTACAATACCAAAAAAACTATAAACAAACTTCAAGTTCACCACAAAAAGACCAGTTACGTAAATTATAGAAGAACTGTATGATAGAATACTGCCCAATCACCTAGAATGTTTTTGTGAAATATAAATATTTTTGTAGAAAAATATCAAGTGAAAAGCTCTAGTTCAAAAAGACTGTGATTATACTTCTGTTTAAAACCTCTCTATATAAGCATATGAAGTACATACATTTACACAGAAAAAACAAACTACATTATAGTTCTCTTTGGGCCCATGTGACAATACATGAGTACCCTTTTTGGCAAATCTATATATTATTCTTTCTTTTTTTTTTTTTTTTTTTAAAGAGACAGGGTCTCACTCTGCTGCCCAGTGCCGTGGAACGCAGTAGCACAAGTGTAGCTCACAGCTCACTCTAATCTCCAACCTCCGGGCTCAAGCCATCCTCCCTTGTCAGCCTCCCAAGGTGCTGGAGCTACAGCTGTGAGCCACCATGCCCGGCTTTATGTTCTGACTTTGTAAAACATGTGTATTACTTCAGCACTAGGAAAGTAACACACACAATACTATGGAGTCAATACCGAGGCAACAACAAGCTGCCTGTGAACAAGCGTACGATAACCAAAAGAACTGACAGAACAACTGAAACTGCCAAAGGCGAACTGGGAACTGCACATCAGGGGTCCAGCTCCTCCTACCGTCTCTTTCTGTTACAATGAAAACACAAGATCCCCTGCTCCCTGGGGTCTTCACACAGGTAAGGTCTACCTGCGATGGGGCTGCTGAGACAGAATAAAGAACGGGGATAGGGCTGGAGGGAAGCAGACGTGATGTGAACCTTCAGAGGGAACTCTGCTTTTCTCCTGGCCTTGCTAACCTCTGACTAGGTTCTGAGGGCACCACCGCTGCCTCAGGGACCAAAATCACAGAAATGAGAAGAAAGGACCAACTGAAGGTGAAGAGAAGAAACAATAATGTTAACTAGGTTTGCTTATTTAAGATTTGCAAGACTGTGGGTGCAGAGATTTTTCTCAAGCACAGCAAGACAGGCTTTGTCAGCAATGAACCTTGCTTAGGTAAGATACTCTATTCTCCCTCAACACAGAAGAACCAGAAGCATACCACGTAAGGTTCTTGACTGATACTCATCTTTTTCATAATTTATCTGGTAATTTAACAAACTTGCTGCAGTAAAAACATCTGGTTTAGAGTATAAAGAAATAATTCCACAATTAACTTACATGTCATCCCCTTGGAAAGGTCTGTCATCTTTATCAGATGCCTGCCGCAATGCCTCTTTTTCTCTCTTCTTTTTTTCCTTCTTTTCTTTCTTTGAAAGCGTTCTCTTGAAATTTTGGATAACACCTTCTTTTTCTTGTTTTTCGGGTCCATTACTTTGAGCCTTCTGATAAAAGTAATATTATCACCATGGGACTCCTACACAGAATCACTTAAAGCTACCTATGGCTTAGCTAAGTTCACCTCACACAGCCAAAAAAACAAAGCTACTGGAACAGGAAAACCTCTGGAGTGATGGAAATGTTCTTTATCTTGATTGGGCTGACAGTTACACAGGTGTATTTACCAAAACTAACTAAATTACAGTTACTCAAGATCTGTGCATTTCAGCATAAATTTTATTTCAATTAAAACAAGGAAGCAAACAAAAAGCCAAAGCCAGTAAGAAAACTCCAAATAATTTACATAAAGTAACTTTAGTAACAGGAACCTAATGAAATTATGGAACTAAAGAGTTTAAATCATTATCTACTTTACAAAAGTTTTTTTTTTTTAACTTCAAAGGAAATGTTAAGAGTAGCCATAATATATTGGCTTTTATGAAGCAGTCATAAGTATTGTTTTTGCATAAAAATTTCTAACTTCTTTTCCAGATCTTATTTATTTGCTTGCTTATTAATTTGTATTTGAATCCACAATCATGGCCTGCTTGCAATGACAGAGATACATTGTTTTTTATGTATAATTTAATAAGAAAATATTAAGAAAAAAAAGAAAAAGAATAACTATTGTAGTGGGAAAGAAAACTGCTTCCTGTGTTGTAAGTTAAGGGAGCAAGAGCATTAACATCCCAGTTGCACGCATAGGTGTTCACAGCACTACATGGGCCCTGAGAAGAGCTCCAGTCCATGCCAATGAGGCTCTGTGGTCCACAGCAAAGCACGCAGAACAAAATAACATCAGCTGAAACTGTGGTGCAGAAATGAAATACAATATGGATAGCAAAACAGTGGACAGCCATTCTTACTTTGTTGTATTTGCTGCAAATGCAGCAAGTCACTAGAGCACAGCAACGAGCAAGGTCAAGAATATATTTTGTATACACATCCAGGACTCTCTAACATGGAACACTGACATCATACAAAATGAAAATTTTCTCCTGCTAAAAGTGAATAATGGTAGACTTTACCCCATATTTTGGGGAAAAAAATTAAATAGAAGTTTTTCTCAAAATATCCTTAACCTTTGCACATTTGCTATCATTTGTCAATACTGAATTCTTGTGTAAGATGCTACCTGATGTAGCACAGAACTATATAGGTATTTTGAAGTTATACTAATATTTCATAGTATTTCACAAAATAAGAATAGCAGCACAGGAATTCCTGATATCCTACCACTTGAGAAACTTTTAGAACCATTTTATTACATCATCCAAAGAAACTCAAGAAAGTTTACTGATTCCTAACCTTGTATATGTAACATGAGTAGGTTTTAAATGTACCTTATTAAGCACCTAAAAGTGTACACAAAAATAGGTTATCATAGTTTTATTCTCCCTTTTGATTATTATTAGAACAATTTTCATTATAAAATTTGGAGAAAAAACTGGAGCTGATTACTTGATCATTAAAACTCTCAGTAACAAAAGCATACATAACTCTTCTTTGAAAAGTGAGAAGCAGTATCTGGAATTACTGGGCGAAATAAAGGATAAAGCAGGGAGCAAAGGGTTACTTTTGAATTACTTTCTGGGAGAAGGATAAAAGAGTTCAGGAAGAGAAGCAAAAAGGAGAAGGAGCTCTAGTAACAAGACATCAACCTCCTATCTATCAGTCAGACCTGACCCAGGACCAAGGTCGGTTCCTACCTTAGGAGGGAGGGCATCGTTCTCATTCTTAAGAACAAACCTGCCCTCCCGATCATCTTTGTTCCAATTCAATTGCACAACTAGAGGTTTCTCATCTATATCCAATCTTCTTTCTTCTTCAAAACATGAAATGAGAAAAAGAATGAGCCATGGTCATTTAATGGCAGTAGCTAATTAGCACTTTGACATACATTTAATTTTATAGACATAAAGTACTTTATTACCCCAAGTACCTAATACAGATTGAAATGTATTGTTCAAAATGTTAAATCAAAGTATAAATTAATAATATTTTTTTGCTACTGTATATCTATTACCATGTATCCAGTGATAGACACTGCCTGGGGCAATTCCTTCATTTAGTTCTAATTGGGAAAATAAGACAAATATATGTGAACTAGTAAAAAAAAAGGTATACATGGTATTGTTATAAGTCTATTTCTGTAAATCAAATTATCTCATATACAACTGGAAAATAAGGGACAATGTTAATATAACACTGATTCATATGAGATTTTTCTCATCACATTAATGTCATCCTCTACAAAGCAATGGCAACAGCCCGCCATCAGCCTTAGGAGTGACTACTGCACTAGTCTTCCTGTCTCTGTGCACCTGGTCCTTGTCTCCAAACTTGCCAACTTCAACCTACCCATCCCCTTCCACCATAAAGCTGCCACCACTTCTCTTATGCAAAGTATACTAAATGTGGTGTATTATTAGGTTATTGTGATTATCTTTCAAATTTTTTTTTAGAGGAATTTTTGTGAAACCATGGATAAGTCAAAAACTTGTGTTACTTCTGAATATGAGTTCCGTCATGGAACAAAATGCTGCGCAGACAGCTTCAAATATCAACAAAGTGTTTGGGAAGGGTGTGGCTAATGAATGCATAGTACAATGATGGTTTTGAAAAGTTCCATTCTGGTGATTTTAATCTTGAAAATGAGCCACATGGGTGACTTGAGACTAAAGTGGATAATGATGAGCAGAAAGCTGTAGCGGAAGCGAATCCATCTCAACCTATGCATGAATTAGCAGCAAGTTTGACGTTACTATTCCAATAACATGGGACCATTTGAAACAAATTGTCAAGGTAAAGAAGCTGAGTAGATGGTTCCGCATGAATTAAATGAGCATCGGAAGAAAAATCGTCTTGAAGCTTGCTTTTTTTGTTGCCATGACATAAAGATGAACCATTTCTACACCGTATTGTTACATGTGATGAAAATGGATTCTTTTTGACAACTGCAAGCATTCTTCGATAACAATGAAGTGCTGAAATACAGTCCAAAACCAAATACTCATCACAAAAGGCTAATGGTGTCTGTTTGGTGGTCCAGTGCTGGTATTATCCACTACACCTTCATGAAACCTGGTCAATCGATTACAGTGGATGTCTACCTCAACCAACTGAATGACATGATGAGGATGCTTGCAATTAAGCAGCCGAGATTGGTCAATAGAAACAGACCAATCCTCTTGCGAGACAATGCTGCTCAACCACATGTCACACAAACAACACTGCTCAAACTACAGAGGCTGGACTTGGAAACTTTCTGTCATCCACTGTATTCACCAGACCTTGCACCAACTGACTACCGCTTCTTTCAGGCTTTGGACCACTTCTTGCAAGGAAAATGCAATTCTCAACAAGCTGTGAAAAACACCTTTCGGGATTTCATTGTCACTTGCTCTCCAGACTTCTCTGCTGCTGGCATAAACAAGTTACCATTAGGATGGCTAAACTGTGTCGATGGTTTAGGTACATACTTGGATGAATTGTACTGTTTCTTATTTGACACATATATAATAAACTAAACTTTTCATTCTAAATCAGACATTTCATATTTACTGACCTAATACTTCTTTCATTATTAGAAACATAACAAATCTCCCAGGCACAACGATCAGGAACATGGCACCCCCCGAGGGTATCCCTAAGAGCCTCACGCAGCCTGACCACCTACTAGAGGCCTACACTTGGCTGGAGGTTGGGGGGAGAAGTCACTGAAGAATGCACCTGCTGCTTCCGGTTGAGACACTCATTTCCAGGTGGAGAAGGCCAAAGGAGCAGGAGCTGGGTACAGCTGAGGCTGCAAGCCCTACACCCAAGTCAGGCAACAACCCCAGGTACCATCCTCATCCTTCAAAGAAACTCATTCCCTATGCTATCACTTGTAACTTGTGTTTGAGTCATTATCACTAACTCAAACAGGTTTTGAGTGACCTACCCAAATCTTTCTCTTAAAATCTCTACCTTTTAGTAAAAAATCTGGCAGAATGTAAGATTTTTCAGGAATGCCTATTTCAGAAACACCTGTTCAGAGAGGGGTACCTCTCTGAACATTAGTAACACAAGACCCATAACTTTCAGGGTTGAGTAAACAAGTAAAACTCATCATAAAATGAAAATATTCAGCAATGCACTGACCACTTATAAAGCCCATTCCCTACCCAAACATCACTCCCCACGGCCCAGCCTTGCCCACTGCCCAGCAACCTGGTCAGTCAGTCACCACCACCCCACGGTCAAAACGCACGTGACGGTGCACCGTCATTCAAACTAACCGCAAAGTGAAATTTCACACCTTGCAGAAAGAATGCGCCATGCTGATGTGAGTGACATTACAGACTGCATCAGGCACAAACTCAGCCCGTGATAAATGAAGATCAGGCTGCGAGAGCAATGAATAACCAAAGAGACAGCTGACAAGGATGATGATAACACAGGCTCCTTGTGGGAGAAAGTTCTGATTTTCCAAGGATTGGGAAGAGTTCTGAGGAACGTTCAGCTCAAGTCCTGAACCCACGCCACTCTTCACAACCATTCCCAACAGTCACACAGAAAGTCAAAAAGACAGCCTGCCAGTAAGTCTGTGCTTGGTCAGTTAGTCCATACTTGAAACTATCACTGTTAAATATGAGATAGACTTCATTTTTCAAACAAAGGGCTCTATCAAACATTTTTCATCACTATTTACTAGGAAATTTGACCCAGTTTTAAGTGTGTTTATTTTAAGGGGCCTATTACAGCTACTAAGTATCTTTGTATAACAGGACTCTGCTGTATTAGTAATAACATACTACAATCAACACTATGTGAGGCAGTACAAACGAAGGAGCACTCTGGAGTTAGGTTATTCAATGAAAAGATGGCCAAAGAATTTATGACCAGGCTAGACTTAAAGGAAAGGATATAGGTTGTTGCAGAAAACTGTCAGAAAGGCAGAAGGAAAAGCATCATCAGGGCATGAGGTATCTTACTATAGCCTCATGCAGGGGATGACAACTGTCTAATTTGATAAAGCATTGGTGCTATGCCAAAAACTTAAATTTTAAATGAGCAATAGTTTTACCCTCAAACAAAAAAATGACACCACAATGATGATGATGAGGATGAGACTGATATTACTACTGCTAAAAATGTTGACAAAGACTGTTCAGGTAATTGTATGCAGGATATGCTACGGTGAGGCTGGTGAAAAGAATTATTGTGTAAAGAAAGAGTCAACAGGAAGAATTTAAAAGATAAATAGACATAAAAAGGCTTTTAGTAAATATCATATATAAAGTAATGCTAACTATCAGAATATAAGAATAACAAATTTTAAATATTTTATCAGCTGAAAGTGAGAAATGAAAATCAAAATTAACAAATTAGAGCTAGAGCAATAAGTATGAACTCCTGCCACAAACTAAAATTACCACGTTGTTTTTGTTGCAAATTTTACACTAGATCAAAATACTTCATAGAGTAACTTTTAGAGAACTAACATTATGTCTAAATCATAAAAGTAAAACAAGAAGAAGGGTGATATATTCTAAAAGCATGTGACTAACCACTGTATGTAAATAGCTTACTCTGGGTCCTACTGTACCTTTATACATTTAAGATATCTTCTGCCTTAGCGGTTTCGTTCATTTTTTTTAAAGTAGCATAATCTTTTTTGTATATTTCCAATTGAATATAAGAAATCCAATTCACATAAAGAATCCTACTATATAAAAATGATGAAAGCAGAGTTTCCCTGGTGGTTGAAGCAGGGTTGGGGCCCAGGCTACAGCCCACTAGGGCTGCAGTATGCAAACACAACAAGGAGATCACGGGCACTGACATGTATTTAAATTTTCAAGGGAAACAAGATGCATCTGCCAGAGCCCAAGGGAGCTCCTGGTTCAGGTGGCTCCTAGTCCACAGTAGACTGTGCAGCATTCCTGTCTGTCACATCTGCACAAAGCAAGGTTTTCCACAGTGCTGTAATAAACAGCAAGCACAGTCCAAAAATCAATATGGATGAGAAAATGAGGGCTCTCTGGGTCTGAGAAGCTCAGCAAGGCCCAAGAGGCGCACCTGTCCCATCAAGGAGTAGTTGTGATTAAGAATAAAATGAAAATTTTAGTTTTCCTTTCATTTTATGTGTACTATTTTTTCAAGTTATCTGTAAGATTATCAGTTGTTAAACACTTACTAACCTGTCTAACTACTTAATAAAAAAGCTGCTATATATTTCCTTTGGCCTAGTGGTGCCATTAAAAACTTACCGAGACACTAAGGGTTCCGTGACCCAAAAAAGATCGAGAATTGGCATGCTAGGGTTTTCCTCATACCCAAGGCACAGGTGAAAAAAAAACCATTGCTCTAAGCAAAACAGTGTGGAAGAGCATGTGAGTGGGTGGGGAGGACACCATTTCCTTTTTCTTTAAACATGTTTGTTTTCACCCCTTACAAATAGCATATTTTGCCTTTTAATTAAAACCAAATTCAATAAAGAAAATTTAAGGAAAGAAAGTTCTTTAAAAAATATCAAATTCATCTGATTTTTGGCTCACAAATTACAACCTTACATAATATTCCAAAGACTTCTCTTGATAGTATTTAATCAGCCAAACAGCACACATAAAACAAGGGGCGGACGTGACAGTGATTTTCTTCTTCTTTATAACCTACTGACAAAGACTCTAAGGTAAAGGAAATACTCAGCCTCAGAAAAATCATCCCAAATTGAGAACACCCTCTATTGCCAAATTTAGTCTTGGTATTATTTATGAAGGTGATACCCTTATAACCTTAAAAAAAGTAGGGGAAAAAAAGTGGCATGCCTTACATACTACCTGGGGAAAAAAATGTTTAGTCACACCTGAAAATCCCACACATAACAAACACGTTAGTCAAATTTCAAATATACAAGGACATCTGCACTTCTGAAGTAAATAAAAATAATGTTCAAAAAGGTTTGTGGACAGAACTTAAGGGGTATTCAAATTGGGTTTGTGTTGTATGTCATCCTTTATTTGCTGCAATAATTGGAATTTGCATTTTTTGCAGGTTATTAAACATTTCCAAAGCACCCACAAAAAATTTTATAAATTTCTACATTTCTAATCAGTCAACTTAAGCTGCCATTTGGTAAAGCTATATGTATCTTCTGAAATTTCTAATGTTAATACATGGAAAAATTACTCAATACATAAGGTTTCCTCAAGATGCCCTAATTATTCCCAAAGAATAATGCCAGTGTACTCTTTCAGAATGCAAAAATGTATTAAATACCAAGACTGATGATTCATACCTATGTAATATTAAACTGGGTTACAATTAATTATATTATAATCGTAACATTAAAACTTATACATAAGAGTTACACAAAAACATTCTCAAAAAGTAGGGAACATACAACACCATCCGTGTATGTGACACCCCGATATGTCAGATACTTTTAATTATGAAATCTCATGCTACGTATCTTTGGAGAGATAAGCATATGTAAAATTAATATAATCATTCTAACTTCTAGCAAATATATGTGCCAGTGACTTATAAGAACACTTTCTAGACATAAAAAAGTTTTACCAGCCTGCTAACTATCCCCCTAGCCCCTCCAAAAAAAGAAAGAGGGAGATGAGAAGTAAACCAGTGATGACATGATGAAAATGCCCCTGGACAAGCTGTCTCGTCACAGATCAGTCAGACCCCTGCCAAACCCTGCCTGTATACACTGACCTCCGCTGACATGCACTTCATAGAGGGAATACTTGGGAGAGGACAGCATTCGCATGTCAGGTCGGAATTTCTCTGCGAGAGTTTCAATTACATCTTGGGTAGTGGCAGTACTAGAGACCCGAATACATTTTGTTGCAAAGTTTCCAGCAGCTTTATCTTGAAAATAGAATCTCATCACTCCATGGAACTCCAAATCCTGAAAGAAAACAAAATGATACATTTTTGGAAAAACATTCTAAAGAGATTTACTTTTTCTAAAAATAGTAAATGAAAAAGGCTATTCATCACTTTTTAAAAAATGTTTTTTTATTATAAACATCTGAGGCACAAACTAAGATATAGGTTTTTAGTCGTCCAGTTTCATCTGTGACACTGGACAAGTTACTTACAATTTCTCTTTACCTTACTTGTCTCACATATGAAAGAAATAGCGGCTGTAAGTAGCTCAACTTACCAACAGACGACATCTACCGAGTCCTCGGCAAATGCTAGGCAGGTACACCATGACGTGCATTATTTGATTATGTCTTTATAACAGTGCTTATGTCTTTATAACAGTGCAGTTAAATAGATACTATTATTAAGCCCTATTTCAAGATCTGGTCATCCAAACTCAGAGAGTACCTTACTCAAGGTGGTATGCGGCAGATCCAGAATGAAAGCCCAGATCCACTGGACTCCAGGGTCCACGCCTATACTGCCCCTGAGATCCATCCAGCTCTGAGATTTCTAAAGTCTAAATGAACACAGTCTGTTAAAAGTGAGGGGGAAATGTTAGCCCCCCAATCCCACCATAAATGTAAATAAATGAAAACACTTAATTTTTGCAAAATATAATTGTAATTAATTTTCAATATGAACTACTCGCCCCAAATCAATGAATGAAATTTAGACTTTGAAGCACGCTTGAATTCCAACCACAGGTGATCCCTCCACGCAGTTCCTGCTGTAAGGTAGGCTGAAGTCCACAGCTGTGGATGCCCTCTCCCATTATTTCCTCCTACACAGAAAAAGCACAATTCCCAACAAAATTCCAAAGAATATTTTAATTCCTAGGTCACTTTCACTGCCTCAAGCAGGATTTAAGATTTGGTTGTTCAAGTGGAGCCATCCTCAATTCTTCTTTCTCTCACCTTGCACCTCTAACCCATCAAAATACATCCAGAATCCAGCGAAATCCTGTTAAAACCCAACTGGAACATACCAGTCCGCAGCTTCACACTCTGCAATGGCTTTCCTCTCCCAGAAGTCAAATCATGACTGTGACGCTCAAAGTCACTCACATGTAAGCCTTTCTTTACCTTTCCTCAACCCACCAGCCTTCTCTTTTCTAATAATTATGAACTAAGAAGTATTTACTTGAGGAAAAATAGGGGAAATGGGATACAGGTTGAGTATCCCTTATCCAAAATGCTTAGGACCAGAAGTGTTTCAGATTGCAAATATTTTCAGATACTGGAATATGTGCATTACATACTTCAGCATACCCACCCTGAAAATCTGAAATCCAAAATGTTCCCATGAGCATTTCCTTTGGGCATCATGTCGGCACTCAAGAAGGTTTAGATGTTGGAGCATTTCATATTTCAGATTTTCAGGTTAGGAATATCCAACCTGTATTAGAATATGGTTAACAACTGTATGAATTAAAACAGAAAATGAGACAATAATGCACATCTCTAGCCCTGAAGCTTTACTGGGCTTGCCCATACTGTCCTACAAGGCAGTATGACCTTCCCACTCTCTGCTATGGCAGGGAAAAATACAAAATAAAGGAGCAAGTATATCTGAAAACAAGACTGAGCCATAGCTTCTGGAGTAAAGGAGGGCCATGGCTGTGGGTGAGACGTGAGAGAGCTTAAGGAGTTAGCAAAATGGGAGCTGTCTTAGCAGGAGTCCTGCTTGGGTCTCTCGGAAATTATATAAAAGGCCTCTTAATCTGCTCTGGGTCAAGTGGCAAATTCAAGCAATCCTTTTTAAATGTTGGGCTAATGACTCTTAAAATCTTTATAACTAAAAATGCATGTGAAAGATGCTCATGAACTCTGTGAATGAGAATTAGTCGCTATTAGTAACAGCCAGTGCTCACGCACTCCATGCCAAGCACTGTGCTAAACACCTTCCACGCACTGTCTCCCAGTTCTCCTTAACCCCCCTTCTCCCTGTGTCCGCTGGATGCACCCCTCTGTCATCATTCACGAATCCTCCACTTCAGGCCCCACTCTTTCCTGTCCACTACTTCTTCCAAGGGTTCGTAAAATAACTTTAGAAAACAAAAATTACTATGTAAACTTACTTGTATAAATTTACATTTTTATCATGGGAGCCATATTTTTATCCCATGATTCTGATACTTTCCTACTGCCACCCTGAAACCATCTTTATAACTGAAAGTCTCAAATATCAATAGGCGAAACCATCTTTATAACTGAAAGTCTCAAATATCAATAGGCAAAACCATCCCTGGCTCCTCCAAAAACACACCCTTACAGAAGTTAAAACAAAAAAGCAAATTAATCTCCATGGTACTCAAACATTTTGCTAACAAAGTAGATTTATATCATTTGTGACAATAATAAAAAAGGCTAGGTGTATTGAAGGATCCCAAAAAACACGAAAGCACCAGTTTCCCTGATAATTGTCAACAAGTAATTCCAAACTACCAGATATTAAAGAACCAAAGAAAAACAGAAGCATCATCTGTGGCTGGCAAACGTGGGAGAGAATGCCCAGTAACAGCAAAAAACACAAAGGAAAGAATCCAGAATGACTTAATAAAGAAATAGTCTACTTAATCATCTTCATGAAAATTCCTTACATATTAAATTACTACCTTTTATAGTGAAAAGATGAAATTGCAAACATAAAATCTCCATTACTAATGTGGCCCAGCTATTTACATTACAGAAAAGGGAAAGGGAAGAAAAGAAACCCAAAGGAGTAAGGAGGTACCAGTGTCTTCACCAAGCAGTAGCATTCCTGTCTACAGAAAAACAACAGTATCCTGCTGATGTTTTTAAAGATACAATGCTGCAGGTTCTACCAAGCCTAAATAAAGTAGCCTATTAAAAACTACCTTTGATTCAATTTCATTTGCACCACAAAGGTGTTAATAAGTAATTTACTTTGACACACAGGAATACTTGAGTGTACCTATTACCAGCATATCCCCTTAATAAATTAATCGATCAACATTCTGCTCAATTATTTAGCCAGTCATAAGTTTGGCTGGTGTGACTAAGTCCACAGAATCTTATCAAACCTAAGAAAGACTGAAAACCAAGTTCCTGAACCTGAAAATTGGGTGTGTAGTGACCAAACTAACAAGCAATAACAATTGTTATAATTAACATATATGATGGACCAGGTACTAAGAGTTACACACTTAACTCCCCAAACTAAGAGTTAGGTACTATTATCATCACCACTAAACAGAAAAGAAAAAGGGGGGAGGGGGGAGGAAAGGGACAGGGACAGGAGGTCCAAAAAGGTGCAGTCCACAGCCACAACTGGGCCTACATCACTGTGCTCTCCCCCGCAACAGGCACTTTGTCAGCTAAAGGGAGTTTGATACTAATTATTTTTCTCTGACCGTACAACACGTCCTAGAGGAGAAACTGAATGAACGAATGAGAGAAAGAAGTCTTAGGCTCAGAGGCTAGTGACCTGCCTAGACACACTATTCGAACACAGATATTCTTCCTGCTCACACTGGGCTCCAAGGCAGCTCACACCCCACACACTGCCTGATCAAGGTCCTCGACCGTATCTACACGCATGTCCACCACACAGTGCCGTGCAAAACCTGGGGGCTGCAGCAGGACATAAACAGGTTCACATTTCACTTGACAGGTGTATCCTTAAGTGAGTTATGTAAGGTCTATGTAAACTCAAACTTACTCACTTATAAAACAAAAATAAGCTTGTTCTAAGCATTAGACAAAATACATAAAGCAACTAGCACGCTACCTGGCACACAGGTAAGTGCTTAAGGATTAGACATTTTCTTCCTTTACAACTTCTCCCACAAGAATAGCTTTTCTGGGACAAGGAAACCTCTTTTATTCATTATTCTAGGTCCTCACCCTCGACCCAATGCAATGCTTTGCACGTAACAATAAAAACAAATTTGAATCTTAATGTCCAATGACAAGATCCAATTCTTCCAGCTGCGGCTGGTTGTTCTCAATTGATAAGAACCCTGAAAAACAAAACTTTAAATTCCTAATAGGCCAAGCATGGTGGCTCACGCTTGTAATCCTAGTACTCTGGGAGGCAGAAGCAGGGAGATTGCCTGAGCGCAGGAGTTTGAGGTTGCTATGAGCGAGGCTGACACCACTGCACTCTAGCCTGGACGACAGA